ACTGGTTATCGAATCTGCGATGCCTAGTTCGCAGCCTGCGCTCAATCCACTGAGCTATGCCAGCCAGGGTCCCGATTTTTAATCTTAAAAAAATGAAAAAGAAATATTGTTCAGCCATAAAAAGAATTGAAATACTGATATATGCTACATGAATGAACCCTGAAAAAATCATGCTAAGTGGAATTAGTCAGACACAAAAACACATGTTATATGATTATACTTATATGAAATAACTAGAATAGGCAAATTCAGAGACGGAAAGCAGAACAGAGCTTACCACCGAATGAGGGAGGAGGGAAGAGTGGGGAGTTATTTTTTAATAGGTACAGAGTTTCTGTTTGGGATGATGACAAAGTTCTGGAAATGGATAATGTTGATGGTTGCACAATGTTGTGAATGTACCTAATGCCACTGAATTGTACACTTAAAATGGTTAAAGTGACAAATTTTGTTATATACAACTTACTGCTATATATGTATTTACTGCTATATACGTATTTATGTATAAAATATATGTATTTATGTACATATATGTTATATATATAAAGCATACATATATGGTTAGGTGTGCTGGTAGAGATTAGGATCACTCATGGGCAAAAACCTCTTAGCACATGAAATTCACATCTGTGCTTCAGCAAGAACACAGTTTATTTCACATCAAGGTTATCTTGAAGTGTTCAAACTATGAATGTTCAGTTGTAAATGCATTTGTGTTTTTCATTGGAAATATACCTTAATCTGAGTGCCTATTTTTTGCCAGATGACTAGACACTCAAGAAATAGCTATTTTGTTGATACATTACCTTGGTATAGGGAAAAACATTTGAAGTTTGATGCCAAAAGCAAAAATCACAAAGGCAAAAGAATGGCAAGCTTAACCATACAGAAACCCAAAACTTTTCTACAGCAAAACAACAACAACAACAACAACAAAACCACCTCCATTATCAAAATCAAATGGCAAATTAGTTGACAAAGGGTTGCAATCTTTAATTCAGAGTTTCTCATGGTGTGATCAGCATACCACTGTGCTATGGGAGAGCAGTTTTAGATGGTAACTGGATGAATAAAATGTTAGAGTGTGACTTTAGGCACTACAGCAAGCAGACAGAAGAGTAGTTTTGCCCCTCAAATCACACCATGTAAGGGGCTACATCCTCAGAAGTAAGGTCCAGGAATATACATTTATGAAATCATGAATTCTGAGACTCACTGAGAGATGAGCAGATAATCTTTATGCATTTTTCTTGGAAACCTAACCTTTCTCTTTACTATTATGTATCAATTTAGTGGGGAAGGTTGAATGAATGAACACAAATAAAGTAATTATAAGTCTTTGCTATTGTTATTTTCTGAGCATCTAAGTGTGGGAACCAGTTTTTGCCAGCTCAGAAGCTTAAAGGTAGGCTTCTAGGGCTTTTAAAGCTATAAGGGAATTCCAATTCAAAATATCTCAGACCACCCTGGTCAGGTGTGCTTGGGAGCCAAAGACAGCAGAATAGAGATGATTAAGAAGTTTTGGATAAAATCTTAGAAATAAATTTGAGGTTACAATGAAAACAATGACAACAGCAAGGTTTCAGCTTGCTACCACTTACTGACCAGAGAATTAAAGTCCCTCAAATTTCAACTTTACCAGTTTTTTTTCATAGGCTGTTCGCCTAGCATATTCTATCTGCCTCCTAACTTTTCCAGTTTTAGAAGCACATTCAAATGATAAGGTGGAGTTCCCTCATAATAGGGTGACCAACCATTCCAGTTTTCCTGGAACTGTCCCCATTTGACCATCGAAAGTCCCATGTTCTTGAAAGTTATGGTTGGTCACCCTACCTAAAAACGACATTTTAAACATTTGGTTAGTTTCTCAGCTAATGTTTACCTCTGTTTAACTTTTTCATTAAGAAAAGTTCATTCTTTAGTGTCATAAAGATAATTTTTTAGTGTCTGACTGATCTTAGGTGGAGTTTTGCTCTGCTCTTGTGAGGCATCAGACAAGTTACTTAATTTTCCCAAGCTTCAACTTCCTTTGTTATAAAATGAAGAGCATAACGGTACCCATTTCATGGGTTGTATAAATAGTAAGTAAGATTACACAGATATAGTTAGCTATCAATCTATCATAGCTGTTAGTTACCTAACACAAGATTGAAGGCTGGTGTTTAAAACACACCTTCCAATTGTTTAGAGACATCATTTACATATTAGCAAACCACATGCCCATTACCACTGCATTGTGTGTATATATACAGCACTGTCCATTAGGACTTCTCCCAGGCTATTAGAGTTACACATATGGTTCAAACCAAAAAAAATCACATATAAACCTTAATAAGGATTTTCCAAGACTAAGTTAAAGTTGTAAAATTTTTACATTTTACAAGTGTTACACTAAAAATTAAGCAGTCATCTAACAACAAAAAAATCTTTATTGCATACTGGCTGTATAACTAGAAACCCCGGGGAAAACCAAGTGTAAAATACAACCCTACCCTCAAATTACTTACTCTCCTGTGTTGCAAGGACACCAACAGCTAATCTGGGAGCAAGGGACAGATCAAAGCAGAAGAACCAGACAGAAATCAAGACTATGTCCAGCTTTTACCTCCCAAGAATATAATAGCCTTTCCAATAGGGAAATGGGCTGTAGAAGGAGGGGCAGGGAGCTTCTCCAGAAGTAGAAGTCTTGAAAGTAGACAAATAAAGGGGGAAAAAAAAACCATCCCAACGGGAGTTTGAAATAGAGAATCATTAAATGGAACAGAAGTAAAACTGATGGCTGAAGAATAAAGATAGAAACCCAGGGAATAAATGAATTAAGAGGAAATTTTCACTCAGAAGACTGTCCAACTCAGATATTGGAAAAGCCCCATGACCAGCAATAGCAGTGTCCTACTTTCGCTAATGAGCATGTGATTCTAGGTAAAACCTAAACCAAATTCAGAATCCCCAATCTCTAAGGTCTCAGTTATCAAGAAAAACGTGAGAACACTTTGTCCTGCTAGAAATGTAAGGTTTTTACCACAGGACCCTGCCATGCTTCCCAGCCTTACAGAATGGCTTAGATGTTTAGGACACTAAGTTGTCTGATCCCAAGAGGCAGGGTACTCAGGTCTACGGTCTCAAGACTTCATCCTGTTCCTTCCACCAATCCCCTCAGCACCCCACATCCTTACCTTATATCATCTTAATGCTTTGCCAAGAACCAAACACCAAAAGACAGGTGCCAACAGACTAGGTGACAAAGTAGGTCTTTCCATTCAAGAAACCCAGACAACCAGAAAGCCTCCCAAGGTGTGGCACAAGTCAACACTTTGATCTTGGGCTTTCAGCCTCACATCTCACTCACCTAGATTCAATCTTTGTAGGCCCCAAGCCTAGTAATCAAGCTGAGGATACGTCCCTTCTTACATGTCATCAAGGCCATTTCAGGGCAGTTTCTCTACCAGTTGAAAATGCAAATGTGACAAGAGCTCTTTCCAGATGTCTCCTCCATTGCCACTCTCCTACCAAGCTGAGCTGGATTATTAGGAGCCTGTTATGGCTTTTGCTCAGCAGGGTTTCAGCATCTGTGATCTGAATACACTTATAGTAATCTTTTCCCAGAAATGAAGGTCCCTTAGAAACCTATTGGAATGTGGCCTAGTTTATTTGAGACAATGAAATAAATTGATGCCTAAACTGAAATAATAGATGAGGAAGGGCTTTGATGACCTGGAAAATGCTAAGGAAATTGGCAGCCCTGCTTGTCCCCTCCTGGAGCTGCTGGTATTGCAGAAGTAAACCTGGTCTGAACAGTAAGCTAGGGTAGTTCCTACTTATGTCAACTGCTTTTAAAATTTCCTCTTTGTGCCTCACTGAAAAGCCATCCAATTATTCAAATATTCTATGGTGCTCACAATTTCTTATTACTGGTCTGAGCATGCCACCTGCCCTTGACCTGGAGTCTTAGAACTAGAGGGAACCTTAGAGACCAGAGAGGCCAGGTGACTTGCTTAGGCTCACACAGTGAGCCTGATGCAATCCAGGTCTCCCACTGGGGGATTCTTTCATGTAAACTGCATCATTGAGAAAAAATAAAATCCACCCCCCCAACACACACATATCTGTGTTCTGTTATGATGGCTTCAAAAACACCAAACCCACTGTGGCTGGGTGTCCTGGAATTGCCTTCCCTGCCTTGTGATTGCCTCAGTTGTCCCCCCAAAACTGGCTCTTAGCAATGTCTCAGACTAGAGGACTACAGACACCTTGGGGCTTCCCATTGTGTTTCATCCCTCCCCTCTCCTTTCCTTACCCTTCAGCAAGATTTCTTAAAAGTCTGACCCTCACTCTCCACACGCCAACAAACACCTGTGATGACAGGGATTCATCCACCCTCCCATCCTAGGATGCTCTCCGGGCCTGCTTTTAGCTATCATTGGAAATTGAAGGTTGTGATCCATGGTTCTCCATCCAGAACCTCAAGAAATTCTCAAAGGTCTCTAATTTTTCTTATTCCCCGTCTGCCCCCCCACATCACCAGGCTCTTAATTTGTCTTGACATTTTCCTTGCACTCACTGTCAGTCAGGGCCACTCAGTAATTTCAAAGCCCTTGCAGTTTCAATTCAAGTTCGAATATTTAAACATGGGCTATTTGGAAGGGTGGAATTTAGATCCCAAGAGCATCCCACAGCCGAAACTCTAAAGTAGCAGTGGAAATTATGCTTTGGAGGAGGGGTGCCACCAGCTACCCCCAAACCAGCTAGGGTTCTGGCTACATTCTAGGATCCAGCACCTCCATATGAAAGCCTCTGCAGGCACACTTCAAAATAAAGTTACTACCTTCCAAGAGTCTCCTCAACCAAGGTAGCCTCGGGTCCAGTAACAGCAGTCTGAGAGCCGTACCTCCTCAGTTCCCCTCATCAACTTTCTGGTAACCCCTTTTGTCAAAAGTGAGAGTCCAGCAGAGGCTGGTGCGAGCCAGAACTCATGCTCACCTGTCTTCCCAGCCACCCACCTGTGGAAGAAGAGCAGGATGGAGAGCATGGTCTGGTCGATCTTGCGGTTGCAGATGCCCTCGTTGAGCAGGTAGCAGGGGTCCCGCAGCACAGGCTCTAGCGAATCCTGTCGCATTATGCTGTCGAGCTTGTCGGTGTTGAGGTTCTCGAAGACCAGCTTCTCCTGCAGCTGCCGAAAGTTACTCACTGTGGGGCTGCCTGGGTGGTTGTTCTCCCCTCCGCTGTCTCCCTGGAGGCCACTCCGGTTGGCCAGGTCCAGGCAGCAATTGCAGCAGTCGAGACCGACAGGTGAGCGGCAGTCGGTCTTGGGCTGGGCCATCTTCTCAGGCTTGGGGGCTGCCCAGCCTGCCAGGTCCGTGGCAGCTGGCAGGTGCGCGTCCGATGGGGGGTTGGCGGGAGGAAACTCCAGGGTGTCTGGAAAAGGCTAGCTGCAAAGAAAGAGTTGGAAATGAGCGCCTCCACCTAACCACTCTCTTGGATCGGCCCCCTTCTGGCTGTGTTGTTCAGGGTGCGAATAGAAGCAGCTGGACAAACAACTCGGAACGGATCCGTGGGGCTCACTTCCTTTTCTTCCTCCACCTCCTCCTCCGCTAGAGGCCCAGGCCGCTCCCTACTCCCCGCCCCACCCCGAGGTGCCACACGCAGTCGCAGCGCCGTACCAAGTTTCCAAAGTGTGAGCGGGACTCAGGGTAGACCTGTGGCAGCCGGATGGGCGGGCAGCAGGGCAGAGGGAGAGTCTGGGCGCGCCTTTCTCGTTCTCTTCTCTTTACTCCCTCCCTCGTCGGCTCGCCAGCTTTCAGGCTCCCCTGAGTGGTGCCGGCTGAACGGTGGCAGTAGCCCCGAGAGTGAGTGAACGAGCTGCACAACTAGGAGCCCGCAAGGGGTCGTGACAACATATAAATTACATCCAGGCGGCCGGCGGAGACTTCTCCAGCTTCCCCGGCGGGCGCCGGCCCTAAACCGGTTAGGTCCTGCCCCCAACCCCCGCTCCACCGCACCCAAGCCAGCTAGGTCCTGCCCCCACTCCCCCGCTCCTCTGCACCCACACGCCCTCGCAAGCACACGGAGGATCGCATGCACCCTTGCCAGCGCAGTCGGGTCCGGTGTCTCAGCCCAGGCTCTCTCACCCCTCAGGGCGCATCCTCCTCCAGAAATGTAAGAGCTGCTGAGCCGGGACGCCTCGCCACTCTGCTCTCGAGTTCCGCGGAGGGGCAGATTATTCCTGATCCCACCGCGGACTGGTCCCCCTACAGGGGAGATGCCGCCCTCGAGAGTCTTTCTTGTTACAGCTTTACAATGCCGCCCTCCCCCACAAGCCTCTTTTGGGGGTGGGGGTGGGGGAAGAGAAAGCCTGGTTTCAGGGGAGAGGGTGTGCAAAGAGAAGCTTGCCGCAACTGAGAGTCTGAGCATGCCGGACACATTTCAGGATACCCAATAAATGCCTTAAACAAACAAAAAAAAAAGAAGCACAAACTCCCCTCCGTTTTTGTTCTTTCTCACTTCACTTGTCTTTCCCTCTTCTCCCCCACTTACTTGCTCTCCCCTCTCTTCCCTGAACCCTACCTGAGGCGATTTCTATACTGGCTTCCCGGGATGTAAGCTACCCGGCCAGCTCTCCGACGCCTGGACTTTCTCTCTTCCCAGTTTGCCCCCTCCCCCGACCGGCTTCCGTCTCTCTGCGCTTTTTCTCCCATTCTTACTTTCTTTTTTCTTTACCCTCTCCCCTCTTTTTGTGTCCCCAGTCTTGACTTATTTCTTTTTCTCCTTTTATGTACGTCCTCAAGTGCCCCCTTTGCCCCGGTTCTTCTTTTTCTCTCCTTGACTTCTTTCTTCCCCCTTCATTTCCCTCGTTATATTTTCCCTTCCCTTTTCTCACTTCAACATACTCCCTCTTTCACCTCGATTTTGCTTCCTTCTCCTCACTTCACTTATCTTACTCTATTTTTCGAACTTTTTCTCCCCTCATCTTTTCTAACCGTCATCTCTGCCCTTACCCTTTCAAGACATGTGATTGGCTATTCATGAACACAGGAGTGCCCTGAAACTGCCAGCTGAGGTGTTCTTGGCTCTGAAAAGAAGGCTACTCTGGAGCGTCTGGCGTAAGGTTAAAGGTTACATTTATGGAGAGCAAGGCAGGTTGGTGCCGGGGATCATACCCCAGTTTTGTGGTAGTAATGTGTACTGCGGTAGACTTTCAGGATCTGAAAACTTGGAATATTTTGAATATATAGGACTCAATAATTATTTGTTCCTCAGAAAATCCCACATATTTATGGTGTTAAGTTTTCATATAAAATTCAAATGGATTTCAGTTTCAGTCGGCACTCTCTGCCCCACTCCAGCTTGCTTCATTCACAGGTCCACAGCCCTTGCAATAGAGCAGTGTACAGTGCCATCTTGTGTTTAAGACATGGAACATTACCTACCAGGGAAACAGATCTTTGGGAGAAGCCAGAGGCGCTTCCTAGTGGAATATACACTGCATTGGCTCTGAGTAACAGAAAAGGGAAGGCAGATCCTTTACACTAAGAGGTCCCAAGGCCAAGTTGTACACCTGGATGCCAATCAGGGTAGAGCCATCCTCTTTCTAATGGAGTTGCATTTGCCTCAGTCCCTGTAGAGTGGATTGCCGTAGATTTGAAATTCTCTTCATATGCCACAAACAACAGTCCTGTTACTAGGAGCAAAGGGCAGTCAACAAACTCCTGTTCCCAACTGGTCTTATATGGAGTCTATAAGGCTCTGTGGGTCTTATATGGGTCTCCACAGTTTCTGGAAATGGAGGGAGGGCAGTGCTTCCTCTGGTTTTCTGTAAGGGCCAGAAAACCAGAAACAAGCTGTGTACCTGGCTCTTGATCAGATCCCAAGATCAGAGATGAAAGAAACATTTGGAGTTCATTGTCCAGACCAGCTGAGCTAAGGGTATAGTCCCTGTGTACTCACAAATTGCTGAGTATTCTTCAGTTGGATTTCTCAAAAGCCAATCCTTTAGTTGCATTAATTTTCCCTTTTCTTCTTCATTATCTTTTTAAAAAGTGTCCTTGGGTAAAAGCCAGAGAGGTAGTAGAATATGAAATTTCATATGCATTGTGTAGACTTATGCCCTACTGAATTGTTTTTAATTACAGTTTTTATGATTTCTCCTCTTGTTTATAATTATTTTATGTTAAATGTTAAAACAAAATATATTACCTCTATAAATGTTTATTTAAGTTACGTTTTGAGAACTTCTGGGGCCTTTTGCTTTTATATGTGCCTTGGTGATCTTATCTTTATGCAAAACCTTTGGACAAGGCCCTGGTAGAAGTATTTTCTTCTTGGCATTTGGCACCACTAAACACAAGATTTTGTCCCCTTGACATTTCTTGTTGGTGTCCTTGCTCTCAAGTAGTATTGTTGATAATTCAGTACAGCTTTGCATACTATATCCAGGCTGATCAAGAACAAATATAACTTAGTTATACAAAAATCCAGATAGTTTAGAGATAGAGTTCAGAAAGCTGCCATGTGTTTATATACACGTCTAGCTTATACTGAAATACAGCCGACCTCCACCGAAAGGCTGACTGGACAGGGCTTTCTTGGCTCCTGTCTGTGAAGCCTTGCTTTGCTCACATATATTGTGTTGGATAGGGAGATTCCAACCAGCAAAGAGGTTTTTGCTTAAACCCAGTGGGCAGAGGGGAGACCCATTTTCAGAGAGCACTGCTAGGTTTCTAGGTGGAGCAGAAAGAAGATAATAAGGGATGTCTCCTTTTCTGATGGAATCATTTGACAATCATTTACTCTGCATTTGCCCTGTGCCTGGTATGGTGTTAGTGAAGATTCAAGCCCCCAAAGAACTCTTGGTCTAGCTGTCAAAACAGATGCATTAACAGACAAAAACAGTGCAAATGGAATGTGATGATGGAGGCTTGGTATGTGTGTGTGTGTGCTGGGGGAGAGCACGTGCTGTGGGAGTGTGGAACAGAGGCTAGCCCTGGAAGGTGGGAAGGGCAATCCAGGTGGAGAGAGTGGAGAACAGAGGCATGCAGGTGAGAACACTGTGAGTGCTTGGGGCCGGATATGGATTACAAAGCAGGTGAGTGTTACTGGAGAAAAAGATGTGAGAGACAGAACAGTGAGAGTGGAAGCTGGGAAGGGATTTGGGGATCAGGTGTCAGGGAACCTCATGTGAAACATTAAGGACGTCCTTCCACTTTAAAACTTTATTATGCATTTAGCAATTATTTTTTTTTAAAAGAACAGGTATCACTTACTGAGTCCGGGCTATATGTCAGGTACTTTACATATATCATATCATTTAATCCTCATAACAATTCCATGGAGTAGGTATTATGATTCCAGTGATGAAATGGGTTTGGGAAAAGTTAAAGAAGCTCTGAGGTCACGTAAGTAATACATAGTGGTGTTTGGATTTGAATTCACAGCTTTATGACTTCCAAGCTTGTGACTTTAACTATTAGGCAACTTTTTAATGATGGATTAGCCCAACATTATAAAGCATAATATCTGTTTTAAGAGGATTGAATATTCAATAGTGAATTTACTGACAAATTTATTTAAAGGTTTTTTATCTGTGCTGTGGAGAGCCAAGAAGAAAATTTACAAATCTGTTATAATAATTAGTATTATAATAGCTGACTTTTTTATTAACTACCATGTGCCAGGCACTGTGCTAAGTGTTTTACATAGCATCATTCAATTTACCTATCACAACAACCCTTGTGTGATGGACACTATGATCATCCCCACTTAAGAGATGAGGAGACTGAGTCACAGAAAGGTTATACAGTTCACCTAGAGAGTAGGCAGCTGCCCTCCATGTACTTAGAGTCTAGTAAAAAAAATCATGACAGTGAGTTTTAGGCAAGCCTATTTCCCTACCATAGATATTCAATTTTATTAACCTTTCTTAACTAGGAAAGGAAGATTATCCTTTCTGAAACTTTTCACAATTGTTTATCACAGATTTGTAGACTATAGCCAAGAAGGGTTTAAAAAACTTCTAGATCAGAGGTTCTTAACCTTTATTTTGTGCTTAAGGCCACTTTGATAGTATAGGGAAGCCCATGAACCCCTTCTCAGGAGCAATGGTATTAGATATATAAAATGCATAGGATTACAAAGGAAATCAATTATATTGTTATACAATTATTAAAATATTAAAAATAAAATTTTTATATAGTTATATAAATATTAATGTGGTGACTAACAAGATCTAGATGCAGCTCTGATAACCATGGTAACTTCAAAGTAATGATGAGTGTAAATATATTTAAAGTCACCTGTAATGACAGAAATGTGACATAAAGCTCTTTTTGATTTCTACTGGTGACAAAATCATAGGTACTGCTTATATCATTGTGATCTTCTCTCTGTATTTGTAATTGAAAGACATCTAAATGTCAGTTAGAGGTTGATGAAAATAAAGATCTCATGTTTTTCCATTAAATCTTATTATCCTCTTTTTTTTTTAAGAATCTTTATTCTAGACCAACCAATTATAGTGTTGATAACAATAGCTAACATGAATGAGCCTTTGCTATATGCAAGGCACTGTGCTAAGAGGTTTTATAAGTGTTTTCTATTTATTCCTTATAGTAAGCCTATGAGGTGAGTTTGTTGTATAGCTTTCAGAGAGATATAATTAATTTTCCAAGGTTATACAGTTGGCAAGTGGAAGAGAATGACAGAAATTAATTTTCTCACATTTCTGGAGGCTGGAAGTCTGAGATCAAGATATTGACTGGACTGGTTTCTACTGAGGTCACTTTCCTTGCCTTAAACATGGCTGTCTTCTCCCTGTGCCTTTACATGGTCTTTCCTTGTATGTGTTTGTATCCACATTTTCTTTTTTTATAGGGACAGCGGTCATATTGGATTAAGGCTCACCTTAATGGCTTTATTTTTTAATTATATTTTATTATTTATG